TTCTGTAGAAAAACCCACTGATCCTGAGGACTTAGAATTATTCCAGTAGAAAAACCACTGACCCAGGGGTTCTCAGAATTTTTTATAGAAAAAGTGTTGATCCTGAGGTCCCAGAATTTTTTTCTTGCTTGAGACTTTTTCTCCAATCTCCGCCACTGTTTGTTCGAATTTAAGTTTTCATTCTCTTTCCAAAACTAGACATTGTGTGACTTGAGCATCATGCCTTGTGACTTGAGGGGGTGTAAATTGTCGGCTTGCCAGCTGGCGAGACTAACGTAAGACTAGTCAGCAATTACGAGCACCAAGTTCGATTAAAAAAAATAAATGTCAGTACTGAGACATGACTGCATGTGTGAAGCTCCGAACTCAACTATAGAAACGATCTCATTTGCTCTTCTTTTTGGTTGGGGACCGAATTCCGCAGCTCCAAATTTATTTATTTTCTTGTCGGACAATTAGTCTCGATTTTACAATAAAACGCGTGTGATCATTACTTAGAATGAAACGAAGCATTCAGCGATTGTCGTGTCACTGTTGTCGAAGTCTGTGAGTTAGAGTTGGTTTTAATTAAATTTTCCAACGGCAAAAAAAAAAAAACAGAAAAATTAAATCATTTCGAAAGTCAAAAATATTTTATTTAGTTAAGCGAACGTATTAATGAATGAATTCGAACTACGTCTGACTGGCCACTGCCAATAATGGACAACGATTTTGCGAAAAAATACGAGTATGTGTTAATTTTTTGTTGTTGTCCGAAACCCAACCCCAACCTTGATTTATGGCCATTAGAAGTGAACAAACCAAACACATATGTATATTGGCATTTGAAAACGCCCGTATGCCAATAATCGAATCGGATAGTGAATAAATCATTTGGATGATTGCTGACAATTGAAATTTAAAATTCTAATCAGAAAATATGTGACTAAGTTTTCAGTTTTGTCGTTGATTGATTCTTATTTAAATATTTGTTTTAATTCGGTGACCGATATTGGAGTTTGGACTGGAGAAATATGCAAGTTAAGGGGTAGGAAAGAAACAGGAAATATTAGAATTCAGAGGTCACAGAATTTTCATCCCGGAGGTCTCAGAATTTTTTCTATAGAAAAACCAATGATTCCAGAGGTGTCAAATTTTTTTCTATAGAAAAAACCTCTGATCCTGAGGTCTCAGAATTTTTTCTATAGAAAAAACCTCTGATCCTGAGGTCTCAGAATTTTTTCTATAGAAAAAACCACTGATTTCAGGGGTCTCAGAATTTTTTCTATAGAAAAAAACACTGATCCCAGAGGTCTCAGATTTTTTTCTATAGAAAAAACACTGATCCCAGAGGTCTCAGATTTTTTTCTATAGAAAAAACACTGATCCCAGAGGTCTCAGATTTTTTTCTATAGAAAAAACACTGATCCCAGAGGTCTCAGATTTTTTTCTATAGAAAAAACACTGATCCCAGAGGTCTCAGATTTTTTTCTATAGAAAAAACACTGATCCCAGAGGTCTCAGAATTTTTGCTATAGAGAAAAGTGCTGATCCTGAGGACTCAGAATTTTTTCTATAGAAAAAAGTACTGATCCCAGAGATCTCAAAATTTGTTCTTTAGAAAAATCCATTGATCCTGAGTTCTCAGAATTTTTTCTAAAGAAAAAATTATTCCAGAGGTCTCAGCACTTTTTCTGTCCCATCTAAAAAAAATCCCCTTAATTAATTTCCATTAGTATTATCGCTTTTAATCCCATTTTTAATAGTTAATAACATTTAAAAATAAATTGCCATGCATTCGAATTTAAGCCCTGACTGACTAGCCATTTCATTCCCTAAACGTTTTATGCCCTTTGTTGGTAGTATTATGCACACACTCACAGACACTCTGTCGTAAACCATATATGCCAAATGTCAATTAACGACATACATACAAACTTACATATTACGATGTAATAATTATTATGGCTGACGACAACAGTGTTTGGAATATAGTCTCTATAAGGTATAGCTGTAGTAGGTCTGAAACCTTTAACCGGCGGCAGTGATGAATCAAAGGCAAAATGTGACGCATTCCGGGGGATGCAGAAGACGATAGTCTGGCAAACTTGTTTGCCGGGAAATATTTCCATAAGATTGTGTAAATAATTGCCATTACACCATTTCCAAATAAAAAAGGGAACAAATCTGCAATCTCTGGTATATAGAAAAAATTCTGAGACTTCAGGATCAGTACTTTTTTTATAGAACTCAGAATCAGCGGGTTTTCAAAAGAACAAATTCTGACACCTCAGGATCAGTGGTTTTTTCTATAGAAAAAAATTCTGAGACTTCAGGATCAGTGGTTTTTCTATTGAAAAAATTCTGAGACCCCTGGGATCAGTGGTCATTGGTTTTTTCTATATAAAAAAATCTGAGACCTCAGGATTAGTGTTTTTTCTATAGAAAATAATTCTGAGACCTCAGGATCAGTGTTTTTTCTATAGAAAAAATTCTGAGTCCTTGACGCCTTCACACAGGTCATGGAAACATATTTTTAAAAATCCACTTACTTTACTCTCTGAAAAAATATTTTTCAGTTTGTTTTTTCTAAAAAAACGTAAGAAAAGTAGTAAAGTCGGACGGGGCCGACTATATGATACCCTTCACCACTTTGGGTATATTTTTGTGCATGTACTTAAAATCAGGAGAAAAAATATATAGGAGCTATATCTAAATCTGAACCGATTTTCACGAAACTTATCACACATCATTCTAAACCTATTTCATTACTCTATGCGAAATTTCGTGCAAATCGAAAGATATATAGGGACTTTGGTAGACCATTTACATAAAATCGGACGATAATATATATGGGAGCTATATCTAAATATGGACCGAATTTAAGGATACTCAACGCATATCATTCTAGACCTAATTCAGTACACTATACCAAATTTCGTGCAAATCGAAAGATATATAGGGACTTTGGTAGACCATTTACATTAAATCGGACGAAAACATATATGGGAGCTATATCTAAATCTGGACCGATTTTCAGGAAATTTAACACACATCATTCTAGATCTAATTCAGTACACTATACCAAATTTCGTGCAAATCGAAAGATATATAGGGACTTTGGTAGACCATTTACATTAAATCGGACGAAAATATATATGGGAGCTATATCTAAATCTAAACCGACTTTCAGGAAACTTAACACACATCGTTCTAGACCTAATTCAGTACGCTTTGCCAAATTTCGTGGAAATCGAAAGATATATAAGGACTTTGGTACACCATTTACCTTAAATCGGACGATATATATAGGAGCTATATCTAATTCTGGACCGATTTTTCCCAATTTCAATAGGGTTCGTCCTTGGGCCAAATAAGTGACCTATGCCAAATTTCTTCCATTCGGATAATAAATGCGACCTGTACTTTGTTTACAATTTCACATGGACAGACAGACGGACGGATCGACGGATATGCATAAATCGGCTTGGAAAGAGATTCTATGCATATTCTCGTTTCCTTTTGCCTGTTACAAACATATGCACAAAGACATAATTCCCTGTACCACAGTGTGGTGAAGGGTATAAAAATTCTGAGACTAGATTTATTTAGTCTGATCTCGTCTGATACCTTGCCTTTGTTCCATTTGTATCAACCTAATTGAAATCAACCAGCATTTTTAATTACTGTTAATTACTTTTTAAATTGTTTTATTTATTTGAATATAATATTAATTAAATTATTTGTTTTCCTTTCATTACAGATTTAAAACCAATTAACAAAAAAAATTCCGCACACATCCAACCAGCAGCCAATTATCCACCTACCTACCCATCATACCCTGCATGTCATGCCCAATTTTTTTGCAATTGATTTTGAAAAGAATTTTTAAAAGTTGTTGCTGTTGAAATGAAGTGAAGAAAAGTGAAGGAGAAAATAAGTGAAAAAGATAATCCGCAAGAAAATAGTGAGCAACAAAATTGCACTAAAACAAATAGAAAATTAAAAAAAAAATCATTCATTGTTGCAAACATGCAATTTGGAAATTGAATACAACAACAAGAAGGAGAAACAAAGAAAATTTTGTGAAAATCTTAAAAAAAGTGATTTCAAAGTTTCTTAATATCGGTATAGCGTGTCTAAATAAAAGGTGTTCGTTAAGAAAAAAATCAAGTTGTTACTAAGCCGGTTGGTCGGTCCATCACATTTTTTTTTTTCAAGAAAAGGCGTTGATGGCTAGCCAAGAAAAAATTGTGTTTAATTAATACAAAAAATAAAAATTCCATCAACGAGAATTTCAAAAAAAGGATTACCAAAATTGAAAACATAATAATAATTTTGTAAAATATTTTAGTTGCAAGAAGAAGCACCCAAAAAAAAAAAAAACAAAAATTTCGTCATGAAAATCGACGGTCATGCCAAATGAAATCCATGTGATTTTTCAATCGCCAAAAAATAAATACCAAATAAATTCATCAAATCAAGCGAAGCCTAGGCAGACTGTCGGTCGCTGAGTCTGACTCTGTGACGGTTTGCAAAACACCCGCATTGCACTGAAATATTGTTGGGGAGGCGTTGCAAATAAATGTTGCTGCCCGGCCATTCTTGCATTGTTTAAGTGTTTGGGCAGGCATTAGAGTTTCGAAAAATACAAATAAAATAAATTCAAAAAATAAAATCACAACAACAACTCTTCAAAAAACTCCGCTGAAAATTATACCCCAACGTAATTTATTATTATTGGCATTATTATCTCTTTGCATTGTTTCGATTTTGGGAAAAATTCCAAAAAACAAAAAATATTTCGTCTAACACAAAAATCCATTCATAATGGATGTCTCCGAACCATTGCCATCCCCATCATCGGCAGCAGTACGGCTCATTGAGCCATTGTCAGCAACTGAAATGTCATTAACTCCCACCTCCACCACCACATTACAGGCAACGAGTGCAGCAGGTATGGCAACAGACAACACCACACCATTATTACAAACAGCTGCAAACAGCGCTGTCATAACAACAACCACAGCGATATCAACACCAACAACACCGAGGACAACCACGCATACACCGCGAGAAATACCCACCATGTATATATTGGATGATCTTTACGATGATGATTATATAGATCAATGTAAGTAGCTTTTTGTTGTAATTTTTTGTAGACAAAATTAAAAAAAAAAATAAAATAACGACAATACAAAAATCATATTTGGTTATTACACTAATTTACCAAAAAATTAATAATTTTTAGTAATTATTTTTAAATTAATTTTGATAACCTAAAGTAGAGTAGAAATTAAAAATTAGCCTTGAAAACTATCTTTAAAAAATTCACTCCTTAGGATATCCCTGAAAATATTAAAAAACCACCTCTGAGGATAGATCCTGAAAATTATTTTAAAAAATCCACGCCTTAGGATAGACCCTGAAAAATATTTTAAAAAATCTTCGCTTAAGGGTAGACCCTGAAAAATATTTTAAAAAACTCTTCGCCTTAGGATTGACCCTGAACATATTTTAAAAAATCGTCGCCTTGGATTACTCACTGAATGGATTACTCACTCACTGAAATATTTTAAAACATCCACGCCTTGGATACTTTACATACTTAGCTGGCTTGTTACAGAACGGTTGTTCCATAAGCCGAGCTTAAAAAGATTTCCAAGTGCGTTGTTCTTGTGCGCATATCCTCCATCTGATTCGTGGCCTTCCCATTCTACGGGAACCATCAGTAGGCTCGCTTTTATATGCCTTTTGAGCTGGGGCATTCTCATACATTCGCCGAACATGGCCTAGCCATCGTAATCGCTGCAGCTCAATACGACTGACTATGTCGATGTCCGCGTATATATTGTAAAGATCGTGGTTCATTCGACGGCGATATTCACCGTCAACGCAGATCGGCCCACAGATCTTTCGGAGAATTTTTCTCTCAAACACTCCAAGAGCTGCCTCATCTGCTTGCTTCAGATTCATATAACAGCACGGGTAGTATCAGCGTCTTGTAGAGTGTGAGTTTGGTCTGGCGGGAGGTGGCCTTGTTTTTGAGTTGTTTGCTCAGACCATAGTAGCATCTCACCATCGCCGAATTTCAAAACTGATGTCATTCGTTTTGTTTATGGCGGTACCAAGGTATATAAAATCTTTGACTACCTCGAAGCTGTAGTTCTCAAGTTCCACAGTTGGTCCGAGTCTACTGGACGTCTTGCGCGTTGATACCATCAGCTTGGTCTTCTCGCCGTTTACTGCCAGACCCTCTTTGGCAGACTCCTTCTCGATTTGTTCAAAGGTGGCTGTTACCGCTCTCAGTGTTCGACCCATTATGTCGATGTCATCGGCGTAGGCGAGTAACATATGATGTTTGGTGTAAAAAATGCCATTTAATGCCATGTTAAAAAGGTCACACGACAAACTGTCACCTTGTCTGAATCCTCGTTCGGTGTTGAAGGGCTCCGATAGGTACTTTCCTACTTTAACTGCTGATCTTGTGCCAGTTAAAGTTATCCTGCATAGCCGTATTAATTTTGCAGGAATGCCAAACGCAGACATGTCTTTATACACCTCTGAACGGATAGGGCTGTCGAATGTGACGAAAAGGTGGAACGTGTCGATGTGTTTTTCGTGGGTTTTTTTCCAGGATTTGACGCAGAGTGAAAATCTGGTCAATGGTGAATTTGCCAGGTCTGAAGCCGCATTGGTATGGTCCAATAATGTCATTTGACGTCGAAAAGCTGCAAACACAACATATAGCAGAAGCCTACTCCGCTCAACTTACCCAACTGCTTGAAAGCACCCCTTGGCTTCAGTCGTTCACACAGTACGCTGGATATTACTTTATATACGATGGGAAGGAGACTTATTACTCTATAGTTGGCAAATATCGTCTTCTCTCCTTTTTTTGTGCACGAGACACAGGATGCTGAGGTTCCAATCAATGGGCATGCATTCTTCTAGCCAAATTGTACTAATCAGGTGGTGCATACTCCTTCGGGTTGTAACCCATTGGCACCTGCTCGATTTGCTCACGCTCACGTTTTTCTTGTTCTTTTTTTTCTGAAAATACGTTTCTCCTCTCTCCTTTTCTCCCGATAGATCTCCATCGCATTACGTGTTGCTACTGTTCGCAGGGTTGCCCTATACGCTGTGTTTTTCATATCAGTAGCATTACGATACTCCAGATCGTACCACGGATTTCTTTGGTAAAAATATTTTTTTTAAATATTCACGCCTTAGTATAGACACTGAAAAAAATATTTAAAAAAAAATCCACGTCTAAGGATAGACCTTAAAATTATCATCTATGACTTTTTTTTTGTAGGCTAGTGTCATTTGGTGCATTGATTTATTTACATTTGTTATTATGATATGTATGTCAGTCGCTGGTTTTGTGACAAAACTTCAGTCGCCTGCTGTTGTTGTCTTTGGTTGGTGCAATTCTCTTGTTTGCAACTCTTATTTTCATAACCATAATAAACAATTACAACAAATGCAACCGTGGGATGTTTGTCTTTGTTCAAGATTTTCGCATATAATTTTCAATGGAAATTGCATTTTTGCAAAAAAAAAATAAATAAATAAATAAATAAAAAAATATTGTCACAATATGGCGTATTTATACTTACATGAGATGTTTTAAAATGACAAATAAAAATATTGCATAAAAACAACCTTTAGTTTATTTAAATAATTTTCAGACAAACTTTGAAATATGGCCAAAACACTTTCCCAACAAAATTATCGTTAGGACATCATTGGATTCAACAAAATTAAAATATGACTATAATTTAGAATTTGGGATTATATGTATATATTAAAGAGTTTAATATCCAAAGTCCAACTGACTTACAAACCCTCAATGTCAGTATTTCAATGAAGACCAGAAGGTCTTTTCTTAGATGTCCAAAAAGTTACATTATAGAAGTCTGGAAAATCTTCTCGCAGAAGGTAAAAATGCATCTTAAAGGAAGAGTAAAAGGTCGGCCAGAACGTATTTTCATATCAGATAAGAAGGTATCCTCCTAGAAGACAGAAGACTCATTTTTCTCATTTCTTTCTCCACTTAGCAGCATTTTGCTTCCAAAAAGCATCGTCATCTTATTCGATTAGTCCTTGTTATTTTAGTTTTTATTCCAGTGAAGTAAACGATTGGTCTCCTGTAACCTGTCCTAAATAATGGAACTGCCATCTATTGTTGCTTGGAAACAATACCCTCTTAAATTCTGTACAGGGGTTGGGGTATTTGCTTATTTAGTGTTGTCATTTATATTTTATACACACATTATCGCGTATTGATGGTTTTATTCTTAACATGCCTCTGTTATACCTATTTCCCCCTGGATATGTTTTCATAAACTATTTTGTCGATCTTTATGGTTGCTATGTCTTTGCTTCTATTCCTAGTTGGTGTAATCTTCAAGTATTAATGTTGATGTTGTTTCATTGGTTATTAGAATGTCAGGGGGCTTCGGGTGTATTTCAATAAAAAAAATATTCGAAAATCACTTTGAAATAATTTTTCGAACCCGCTTCGCATCGATATATAGTCTGCACAATATACACTGTATTCATGGTATACTAAAAAGTGGAATCTTAGAAGACTAAAAGTTCATCACATAGATTATCAGCAAGTGGACTTATAGAAGACCAGATTTAATTAATCATTGTTTTTATTCTCCAGCTAAGTAGATGATTGATCTGCTGTAGCATGTCCTTTGTGATGGGCCTGCCATCTATCGTTGTCTAGAAACTTATCTTCCTGAATTTTGTATAGTGGTTGGGGTCCTTACTGATTTAGTGTTGCCATTTTCCTCTGGGTGGCAATCACTTTAAATACAAAAAACCAAGAATTTTAATTCTGCATGGGTATCACTTTTGATACCGGATTTCCTTTAAATCGTGTTAAAATTGTATGAAAATAAAATATTTAAGTGTACAACTTTTTGGCGCCCAACTGTATGCATTTAAAGTTGTTCATTCTCAGAGAAACATCATCGCCATCTATAGTTCATACCACTTTTTGGTGCCGAAAAGTATACACTTTTGATTTAAAAATACCATCGCCATCTATAGGTCATAATTAACCATTAAACAGTTATCTGAAAAAAATAAAATGAAGTGCATACTTATAGGCTACAAAAAAATACTCCATACTACTTTTAGTGAGAGTATTAGGTAATTTGATACCGTATCCAAAAAATATATCATAACAGTAGAATATGGCGATTATTTATTTTAAATGAATGATTTATTGTAGAATTATTGTATAACATGAATGCAATATTGTTAAAAAAATGTGTAGTGTAACAGAATTGATTTGCTGCTAACCCCCCTCTCAGTTGAATGGTAATGTAGTTAATGAGTAGAAATGTTCAAAAAATATATGATCGGATTTTAATATAATATTTCGGTTTTTATTTTCATACAGCACGCCCAATAAAACCTCGTAAGTATTCGTTAATTGTTTCTAAAATATTATCTGCCTAAAATTATGCATTAAACATGACCGATGCAGGGATGTTACAATTACAAACTCACTCGAGGAATCAACCGAAAAAATGGAATCATACTTAGCTCCTATTAAATTTTATTAATTCGTTGTGCTCCGTCATGAGCAATCACACTAGGTCCAACAAGGAATTGATCGTCGACCAGATACTAAATTAGTTGTAAATAGTAAAGAATAACTTAATCGTGTATTCTTTTGGTCAAAAGAGTCGAAAAATAAATAATCTCAAATTGACTTATATATCCGCACCTGCTCAATAAAACTGAACTACTATGCCTGTCGATGCATTTTATTCAGAATGCAAATACTAACCTAGAATAAGTCGCTATTTAGTCTAATTCATGTTGCATTGCATTGTAGCGCTGCAAGGTGGGCGGCAATGTTTAGGTTCGATACATTATTTACGACAATGTATATGTTCGATATGTTGTTCACCCCTTCCGTAGCATACCAGTTGAATGGTAATGTAGATAATGAGTAGAAATGTTCAAAAAATATATATGATCGGATTTTAATGCAATTTTTTTTTTGGTTTTTATTTTCAAACAGCACGTCCTATCAAACCTCGTAAGTATTCGTTAATTTTTTCTAAAATATTATCTGCCTAAAATTATGCATTAAACATG